GTTGTGTATGTTCAATTACCATTAGGGAAGAGACAGGTGAGATATAGGAGGAAGAGATTGAAACTAAACAAGGATGACACAGAAGTGTTTACCAAAATATAGAGAAATGGTACAGAAATTATACACCAGTCTGTATGGATAGCTTTTATAATGACTTAGTTGGGGAGATAGAAAGATATTTAACTAAGTCAACACAGAAAAAAATAAATGATAAGAGACATGGGGCTAGGAAACACTGCTATACCAATGACAAAATGTTGAAGGGATGGACACAAATGTTAAGGGCAGCACATAAAGATTGGGTAAAGAATGGTAGAAGAGAAGAAGATAGGGAAATCTTCATGGATATAGCCAAAATATGTGGGCAGGCTAGGAAGGAGGCAAGGGAGAAATATTGGCAAGATTTTGCACAGCACATTGGGGAGAGTAAAAATCTCAAAGAAATATGGCAGGATATTAACAAAATTAGAGGAAAAAGGAGTAATTTTATTAGCCATCCTCATCCAGAGGAAGAAGCTAATAAACTGGTTGACAAATGGGCTAAAGCAGCAAGTGTTGCCTCCCTACCTAACAGGACAATAGAAGCATTAGATGAGTGGCAAAATGAAAGAAAAAGATTTATTTCATCAGCTCTAAATATTTGTGATGTAACATGTGTAGATATTACTCAAGATGAGTTATTAAATGCTGTTAAAAAAGGAAAATCTACAGCACCAGGCGAAGATGGTGTGACATGTGAAATTTTGAACTGCTTAGTTGGTATGGAAAATAGTCCATTATTAGATTTATTCAACATGAGCTATGCAGAGGGTAGATTACCAACAGAATGGAAGAAAGCGATAGTTATTCCTTTCCCTAAGGCAACTGGTGGATACAGGCCAGTGTCTTTAACATCTTGTTTTTCCAAGATGATGGAGAGAGTATTATTAAATAGGCTTGTATATATTGTGGGGGAAAATCTATCTTGTAATTTATTTGGTTTTTTGGAAGGGAAATGTACTTCAGACTGTGTTATAAAATGTTTATCAAATGATGCAGACAGATGTAGAGTTTTTGTGGATTTACAAGGAGCATTTGATAAAGCTCACAGTGAAGTAGTTATGAATGAACTGGCTGCTCTAGGGGTATCAGGAAAGTTGTTACACTGGATAGGTGACTACTTGCATGGAAGGAGAATCTGTGTATGGTATCAGGGATGTTTGTCTGAGGAAAGAGCACTTGAACTAGGCACTCCCCAAGGGGGAGTATTGAGTCCAATGTTATTTAATGTGTTAATGAACAAGATAGCCTCACACAAATATCCCAAAGGAGTTGTAACCATCATTTATGCAGATGACATCTTATTTCAAGGAAACTCTGTAAAAAATTTGCAGATTGCATTAAATAATTTTAGTGTTCTTTCTCAAAAGATGGGCTTAGTTATCAATGAAGAAAAAACCAAGTGTGAATGTAAAGGAAGAGGAACTGAATCCGTTTTTCTAAATGGAAAAATTGTTGAGAAAGTGTCAAAGTATAAATATTTAGGAATGTATATTGGCTTTACTAGTGAAAGTAAAGAGGCAGAAATATATCATGTCCTCACTCAATGTAGAGCAAGATTACAGCCCTTGAAGGCTCTAGCATGTTGTGGTAAAGGTGCTGGGGTACCCATACTGAGAATGATGTATATTTCTACCATCAGATCACTTATAGACTATGCAGCACCTGTCCTCTCTTGTACTGGTGAAGGAAGGCTACGGAAGCTTGAGATCATGCAAAATGAAGCAATGAGAATAATTTTAGGGTGTCAAAAGAATGCAATGATTGAGATAATGAAAATGGAACTAGGGTTACAGAGCATTTCACAGAGGGTCAATGAAATTAATACAGTTGCAGCAGTTCGATTAATGAGAGGGAACAGTGGGAGTAAATTTGTACAAGATATAAATGATGGTTTAAAAGGTAAAAGGACCTTCTGCAGGCAAGGCAAGAGAGGATACATGAATGGATTAGTAAATATTATTAAAAAATGTTATCTGGCAGACTGGTGTACAGCTGTTCAGAAGAGTTGTAAGAATCCACCCTGGGAAGAACGAGAAGTAGAGTTAGACATAGTGCCTCTCACAATGAAGAAATCATTACATGAACCAGGACAGTTAAGGGCTTTATATGGGAATAAGATTAGTAATGTGCCTAAAATAAACACATTGCATGTATATTGTGACGGTTCAGTTATGTCAAGTGGCAGGGCAGGGTGCGGGATCCTTATAAGACAGTACACAGAACAAGGAAATGATGACATCAAAATTGGACTTCGGTTGAGCAATTTTATTTCATCAACACAAGCTGAGTTATATGCAATGTTAGTAGGATTGGAAAATGTTGTAAAGAGGTATAAAGATGCATATTTTTTTGTTGATAGTAGGGCAGCTTTGGATTCTTTGAACAGTGGGAGTCCAGTCTTTGGACACATTATTGGTTCATGTAGAAAATTAGTAAATACAATAAGGAAAAATGGCCATAATGTTCAATTTGTATGGGTCCCTTCACATGTGGGGATTGGTCTTAATGAAGCAGTAGATATAATAGCAAAAAGAGCCACGGAAAAGGCCGAGATCGACATAATATGTACTAAAACCTTGAAGCAATTAAGGAGCAAATTACGGAAAATACAATCAATAGAAGATAATTTCAAAAGGAATGAAATATACGAGAAAAGTGAAACAATGAAACATTACCATCATGTTCTCATGAACACAAAATTTACATATGGGAAAGATAGGAGTAGGTGGAAAGATTCAGTGTATATGAGATTAAGATTAGGATATAAATATTATTGGGAACTTGGAGCTGAGAGAAGTGAACAGGATAAAGAATGTAGAGTTTGTAGAACATCCAGATCCCATACCCTGCCACATTATATACTGGAATGCCCATTGCTTAATGTATATAGAAATGCCCATATAAATAATGTCCCCATGCAAATAGAGTGGATGTTTAAAAATAGGAAAATAGATGAAATATTAAAGAAATATAGAAATTTTGCATCTAGAATATAACTATGTATTATAACTAATTATATGAAATATTAGGGATTTATGTGAGTCCTGAGAGGGACATTCCTGGACTGGGGTGAGGATGACTTATGTCACTTCATCCCTTTGAGATGTATTAATGTTTTTTTGTATCTCAATAAACGTATCAATCAATCCACCAGGCCGCCTACTCCACACATTGTCAATCCATAAATGTACTCCAGCTTCACCCTTCTCATGGACATGGACCAAAACACCTGTAGGGAACTTTATATCTGGCATTGTTTTTCTTTTAAATATAACCATTGGTTTTAATTTAGTTCCATCTGCAAGGCAGGTTAATACAACAGAGAATTTCGTCTTTTCGTGACCTGTACTTTTTATCAGAATAGTTTTTTACCTTTGGTGTCAACAGTCTTATTGCTAAGCATGTTGAAAAAACAAGGCGTTTCATCCATATTACTATCTGACACCGTGGGTAGTTGTGTTCCTTCCTCAGTCCAATGGCATATCTATGGAAATTTACCGAGGTATAATTTTGTCTTCGAGGTCAGCTGGGAGTTTCTGTGCAACTTTAGTTTTCTGCCACAAAACAAGATTTTTCCTCTTCATGAAGCGACTACACCAGTTCGCAGTTGCTTTAAAATTTTTGCTTTCATCTGGGTGTGTTTTGGACCACTTAAGTGCACGGGTGAGTATGTCAGTTGGGGTTACTGTACGGTATAGCCATCTTGACGATTTTCGTTGACCCGACCTGAATAATTTTCCAGTAGACCAGTAACAGATGCCGGTCCTTACAGCACATTTTTTCTTGGGTATCTTCTTCAGGGAGGCTTCACTGTTCTTCCAATCACACACCATCTTTCCATTTTACTCCATGTAGGCTTGTCCAGTGTATGGGGGATACACTGAACAAGCCTACATGGCAATTTACTAAACCATTGTGGCTTTATGCACTTGCTGGCATCCACTCATTACCCACACACCAATCTGACAACAGTTGAAAATATCTTATCCCCACGGCTCCCCCAGCAAAAAGCATGAAATATGACGCAAGCTTCAAGCTGAAAGTTGTTGCGTTTGCAAACTCTTCAAGCAACAGTAGTGCGGCGGATGACAGTTTAAGTCTAAGCTGTGTTGCTGTGCTGCTGACAGTGTAACGGACCCACGGTTTCGCAGTTGGCCGTTTGGTGTTGGTGGCGCCACTGGCAGTTTGTTTACTGATCCAGATGGCAGATCGTAAGTCAGGTGTACCATAATGTTCTACTATCATACCGTTTATAGCGGTACTGTCATGGTGCTATACTGGTATGCTGTGTAAACAATTACAATTTTATTGGAGGTGGTGAATTTGGCTTGGTGTTTACCAGAGTTCTTACGAAGATAACTTACTGAAGATTTTTAGCGGTTGCTTGCCTTCACTATATAATATATACAGTCAGTCCTCGACTTACGACGGGGTTAGGGACCGACGACCAGGTCGTAAGTCGAATTGGTCGTGTCGAAAATGCGAAAATAATACATAGAAAATAAAAAATGGGTGTTTCTTTTTCTTCTCAGCACCATGAGAACTCTCACTTTTACACTTGCCAGCCATTTTAAAGGGAATTACAAAAAAAAATTTTGTCAGTACACAGCGCGATCACTAACATCGGGACATGAAAATACGTAATTTGAAAAATATTTTATACGACTGCGGCGGTCATATGTCCGGGTGGTCGTAAGTTGAGTAGGTCGTAAGTAGAGGAGTACCTGTATATCAAATATTGAAAGGTATTACGGTAAGTATCTTGATGAAAGTGGCGTGGCCTTATTACACACTTTCGCCTATGTTTGGGGTCTTAGGGAGTCAACTTATATGGCGAGTATGGGCCTAAACCTGAATTTTGAACTAAAAATCTTTGTCGACTTATACACCACAATTTACGGTACATGTGTGTATAGTATTTACCATATCCCATGAAGGGCTTTCCTACACTGACTAACCTTCACAAATCTTAGGTATTCATTCCGGGCTTTGTTAACTGCTTCTTTCAATGCTTCTACATCACTCAGCAACCGGGTGACAGTAGGAATGGGTAGTTCTAGCAGCATCCCTGTTACCTATGGGAACAGTATATTGATGAAGCTTACACAATGAAAGACAAAGTAAAGGACACTAATGAGAATATGAAGCAATCATTAATTACCTGTACTAATATGAGTAATTCTAAACAAAAAGCTGTATGTCCAAGGAAGATTCTCCTCAAAATGCAACAATCATTTAATATCACCAAACAATTGACACACACTCACTTGCCTCTCTCATGCACACACTTTATCTTCCTTATCAAACCATGTTTTATCTCACTATTATATGGAATTTAGTAATATTTATCTACAAAAAAACCAGCAGTGAACTAATTCTAAACACAAAGTCAAGTCATACCTGAGCACAAAGTTCACTCTCAAGCACTGAAACAGCCTGGAAGAGTGACATGCCAAGAGATTCCCGCAACTCAGAATCTGGCCTGAAATGTTATGTTAAAATTTGTGATTAGTTCTAATATTACACATATAATTCTTCACTAAGATGGTTGTGTTGCTAGTTCAAATGCTATTTGAATTTTATCTTTTTCTAGTGATGGGGAGGTGACATATCAAATTAAATCTTCTTGATATATATTTTAATATTTATTTTACTATATCCTAAACTTAATACTGTATAGACAAGCATAGAAAGTCATTATGTAATCATAAATTTATTTATTTTTTACCCAGAGTTCATCAATATATTTCAAACAGTAAAGTTAACAAAGAGAGTAGAGTTACCCTCTTTGTTAACTTTACTGTAATAGGGCTTTACCCTAACTGAAAAAATGTAAATCCTGCATTATGATCAATTGTGTAATTATAAAATACAGCAACATTTTACCTTCCTTTCACTTTGTACTTTATGTTACACATTTGTTTTTGCCTTCTCAAGACAATGATAGAGAGGTTGGTGATTGAGAAATGAACAATTGAAAGTCTCATGATTTTCAAATAAATCTGATGTACTGCTTAGAGGATCATCGGTTATGTGGCTGTCAATGATCACAATCTCTATTAGTAAGCAATAACTATTAATATTGCGAGATGATATACAGTAAGATCTCATATTGCGCGCGATTTCATTTCGCGTTTTTGAATTTCACGAGCACTACCTAATGTAACCAAGTCTTATATTTGGCGTAAAATATCGCGAGATCCAGGCAGCTGAACGCGAGATCCAGCCAGCTGAATGCTGGCCACCGTCTTGAATGTCGTCACAGCCCTCATACCAGTTACAGTCATTTCTGCTAAAACGCGTGTTTTGTCAACGTGAATTGGTTGTAATGCGATTGATGACTAGGGAAACGCCGTTTGTAAAATGCGAACTTCTGCTTAAGAAAGTTGGACACAGCGTGATTCCATCCTCAACATTTTAAGTCTGGCACGGGATTATGCAATGTTTACAGGTCATGTTCGACATCACATGTTCAATTGATCCGTGTCTTTTGTTCAATTGATCCGTGTCTTTTGTTTGTGAAGTGTTTTTTGAGTTACTCTGTAAATTTTTTTTTTTTTTTTGCAAATTTAGCTGTTACCCATAAATACTGCATGAAAAGACTAAGTAAAAATAATGTTTTGTAGCGAGGACTAATAACAGTTTACACCAGCGCTCTGTGTTTGCATCACGTGGTCAGTTGAATCGCGCTGTTTCTGTCAATTACTCTGTGATTTTCGTCGTTTTCTCCAATTTTGTTGTGTTAGCGATGAATACGGAAAGACAAGGTAAGAATGTTCCCAAGAAGTGTTCTGGTGATCGAATTGCCGGTGATGAACGTAAAAGAGGTTTACAAGAACTCGACTCTCGCATTGTAGCCCGTGCCAACCTAGCGACCGCCCGGGGTGTTATTGTGTGCATTTTTGGTTGGTGCTCCACCTGTCGAGTCAAGATAATGGCCTCTACCTCTACTGGGGGTCCTACTGGTGCTGGTGGGGTGGGACAGACTCACCTAAATGGCCAAATAAGGAAAAGGAGAAGCGGGACCATCATAAGGGAGTTAAGTTTGCCAAGTACTTGATGCAGGATAGCACTGTGTGATTAAGTTACTTGAGGAAGGCCTAAAAACTAGTTTCCGGAAAGTACAATCAGGTCAATAAAGGCAGAATTTGCATCATTTGGAGGTTACAAATAGGCAAATCAGAGGTTGATGTAGAGTGGCCAGTCTATATTGTTAGTTTTCCCATTAGTTTATGTACTGTATTTGCATTTGGCGAATTTGAATTTGGCGCAATTTTTCCAGTCTATATTACAGTCAGTTCTGCTATAACGCGATAGTTATGTTCTTGTAAAACATCGTGTTATAGAAATTCGCGTAATAGAAATAACAGGGCTTATGGAGAAAATAGGGTTAGGTGCAGATTACTACTCGAAATCGAAAAAAATTTAGTAGTTAGCCTAACACAAAGGATAGCACAGTCTAAATAAATGTTACATTCATATCTAATAATGAAATCATACAGTAAATGTAACACTTTACCTTGAAAAAATATGAATATAATTTGATGGGGGAGAAGGGTGACTTTGAGGTTGATAACATCGAGCTTCTCTTCAAGGGTTATAGCCTTTCTTTTATGATCATCACCGGGAATGCGATCACCAGAACGCTTCTTGGAGATATTCTTCTTTACCATATTCACAGTTAATACCACAAAATTGGAGAAATAGTGAGCAAAAATCGCGTTACAGCAAACAAGCGTTCGCGTTATACAAATATCATTCCTCTATTCATAAATCGCGTTAGAGCCAATTCGCGTTGTCAAAACACGCGTTATAGCAGAACTCACTGTACTCGTAAAGTACAAGATCTTACTGTAATTAACTTAAAGTTCTAATTAATTCTGAAGGTTTACTTTCCTAACAAAACTGACAAAATCAAATTCAGTCAAGTCCAGTACTCACTCAGATATGGAAGCAACTATTTTTTCAACATTCTCTTCTAAGAATGCATCAGATGTGAGCAGATCAATAATCTCCTTATTTGATATATTAACAACCAACATGTCTGTCACCTGCAAGAGTGAGAGACCAATAATTAATTTGACAGTAAGCAATAGCTCCCAGCATCTCAAGAGAAGCGCGTTGAACATGGGAAAATCAATATGTAGGAAAGGTGCAAATGCTCCATTGAGTTTTCATTTAATTTTTGCATTTTATGAGGTAAGAAACAATATTTTCTCTATATACAATTCCCATGAATCTGACATCTAAAATAATGTGGGGTCAGCAATTTTCTGAATGATTAGTGATAGCTATAAAATCTTCAAATATGTCATTGATAAAAAAAAATTTTTTTTACTTTTATCCCCTTCACACTCCGTTCGGCTCATTAGCCAAATATATTAGTACCTGCTCCGGCCTGGTCTTGAAAAAGCTCACACTCAGTGCCATCACAACACTCTCTGGCAGTTTGTTCCTAGAATTTACAGTTTTCTGGACTTTTGGCTTATTCAATCTTGAGCTGTGACCTCTAGTGGGGCAGGCATCCACCAGCTTCAGGTAAGGACACTTGACTGAGTAGTGTCTTCTGAGATGTTAATAAACTTCAACTAGGTCACCCCTTGCCCTCCTATAGTATAACCGAGGCAGTTGTAATCTCTCTGGGTAATTGAGACATTGCAGTGGAGGCACCAGTCTGGTGGCCCTCCTTTGGAAATTTTCAATCAACTGACAGTCTGTAGCATATCTTAGGGACCAGATGGGTTGACAGTACTCCAGACGGGGAAGCACTTCACTCTTGAAGATCGTAACGAAAGATGGACCATCTAGATATCTGAGCGAACTTCTTATAAGACCTACTAGTTTAGTTGCATGATTCACCTTCATCCCACAATGGCCCGAGAACTTCAGTTCGTTGTCAACATACACAACCAGGTCCTTTTCACATTCGGTCTCTATTCATTTTTTTCGTCCCATTAGGACATGTGATGCCTCCTTACTCTTGGTATGACCTAGGAGAATCCTTTTATACTTCGTGACATTGAATCTTAGCAACCATTTCTTTGACCACTCTTTAAGCTAACAGAGATCTTTCTGTAGCTCTTCACAGTCTGTTTAGTTCTTAATATTCCTGATAATTTGGCATTGTCTGCAAACATTTGTACAGAGGAGTGTATAGTTCCATCTTGTCATTTATGAAACAAACAAATAACAACGGCCCGGGTACACTGCCCTGTGATACCCCACTTGTCATGAGTACACATGACAATTTTGTGCAATTAATCACCACACACTGCTTGCTATCATGAAGAAAGTCTCCAATCCACATAAGGACACCTCCCATACCATTACAGTTAAAATAGAAGCCTTTCATGGGGTATGCTGTTGAAAGCCTTGGGAAAATATAGCTATATGTTTGTAGTTTAATTGACAAAACATGTAACAAGATACACCTGCTACAGTAGATATGGCTGGCATGATGGGTAAAAAAGTTATTATTGATGTTAAGCACCATTTCTCAGTGTTGACACTAGAATTTGCTGGAGATACAGCATTACTGACAGAAACATTGGTACACAAAGTTTAAATTTTATCTGTCTTAAATCCAAATGTATTTTATGTTTTCTAATAAAAATCCTATAGTGTATTCATGATACTATTAAATCTTTCAACTCACCTGGTCTGCGAGGGCTGGGTTAAGATAGCGTACTTTGGCAAGTAAGTGTTCGCAGAGCACCTCTCGTGTCTCAGGAAGAGGTCCATTCTCCATTTTTATTAAAATATTTTGCAGTACGTATACTGAAACCGGAAAAAAACAATTAAATTCAGTGTAACCATCCTATGTGTCACCATCTTCATCATTATATGGACATTTTCCAGTGTCTTGCAGTTTCTCTTGTAAAGTTCCTATCTCTAATGTCACTTCATACAACTTCCTTTGTCATTCTTGGCCTACCCCTGGCTCTCCTCCTCCTCCACATTTGGACTCGTGCACCTCTTGACTCAACTGGCCTCATCCATTCTACCTGCTTCTACCTAGAACTTTGCTAATACTGTACTGTATTGCATAGTACTCTCAATACCCAGCTTCCTTCTCAACTCTGAACAGGGTTTCCTGTCTTCCAGTGTCACATTACACCTTACCATTCTCATTTCAGATCAGTCAAGTTTACTTTATGTCAACTTCAACTGCCTATGTTTTACAGCCATACAACATTACACTTCTCACACCAGCCACATACATTCTTCCTTTCACTCAGAGGGATAAATCTACCATTTTTTCTTCAGATAAAACCTTATAGAAAACCTAAATCCAGTGAAAGCAATACATCTCGAAACACGAAGGGACATAACTACAAGCTCGCCAGGTTTCTCTCATCACGCAAAATGAACGTAAGGGTGGTAGACCTATGGAATGGTCTACCAAACCAAGCTGAAGTATCACTAACAGTACTGGGCTTCTAGATTATCATGAACAATGGAGGGCTCCTACAGAGGCCACTGGCCTCCTTCCCATCATGGTCATCTCCAGTGTGTGGCCATTAGGTACAGTGCAGTACACATATTGTCAGCACCTCACTACCAAATTAAAATCCAATGTTTTGTCTGGGTCTCAGCCTTGAATGGTATCAAAAACAGTGGTACAATAACTTCCCTTTCCACCTCTGCATGTATTTCACTTAATATGCTCACTATTGGTCTATAATCATAGTGCACATAAAAAAATTATAATTTAAAACATGCTTAAGAGCATTTTAAGACATTTGAGGAAGATTTTTTTTGTAGGAATGTTTATCAGGTTTTATAATAGGAGTCTGTGGGAAAATGTGATCCAATTTTCAAAAGGATTCTCAGAAATGGAACCGTTATGTAAATCAGGAAAAGCCTGTATACTGTACAATACCTCTTATAATGGACAAAATGCGTTCTTGAGGCTGTCCGCTAGGCAAATATCCGTTATAAGTAGTTATGGTGCTATGGAGATGAATTCTTACTAATAGCAAAATTAGTCAAAATTATAAATAAATCCCTTTAAATACTACCAATTTCTTAAAGAATGACTAAATAATGATTATAAAAGCCAAACTACATTTGAAACATTATAAAAAAAGTTGCAGTCACTTAATATACATGTACAGTAATATTCCACTGTCATCGCCATATGAAAAGTAAACATTAAGGGCAAGCAAACAGCTCCAGCACAACAAAAATGGCTGTAACAAGGCGACATTATCCTTTACATGCATATGAGCATTTACAAGTTAGTTATCATTATTATTATTACAATTTCGCCCCCCAGGCTTCGATGTGGGTCAGTGACCTGTGCCCAGGCGGCCTAATCCCTGTAAAAAAAAAAAAAAAAGTTTGGTTCGGTAGGTACGTTACATTAGGTTTGGGTAGGTAGATAGGTAATTAGGTTAGGTTTGCTTAGATAAGCAGGTAAGTAATTACTGTGGGTAAGGTTTGGTTAGGTAGGTAGGTAGATAATTACTGTAGGATAGTTTTGGTTAGGTAGGTAGGTAGGTAGGTAGGTAGGTAGGTAGATAATTACTGTAGGTAAGGTTTGGTTAGGTAGGCAGGTTAGGGTATTAATATTTCAGTTTGTATGGAAATGTTGCTGGAGTGTGTTCCATTACTTAGACTTTGATAATTTCGTTGCTGAGAAGCATCTCTCAACACGAAGCACAAATATGGAGTCATCAGGAGAAAGAACATGGAGAGCCTTTAGGGGAAACTAAGGAAAAACTACTGTACAGGAAGTGGGTAGAGGTGGTGCAGATGGCTAACACCAGAAGGAACTTATGGAATTGGACCAACATTTCCAGAGATATTGTTTGGATACACGGTAGTAAGGAATAAAATTGATACAAAAATGCACAAAACCAAACAGAACCTAACGTAGCGTAACATAATGAAACCGATCAGTAAAACGTTATTGTATGGTTAAAACATTCATATAAACAACGAGAACCTGATGTAACCTAAGGCAATAACTGAGGGAACAACCAGTGCATGGCACCATAACTGCTTATATAATACAAAAGATTGTTAACCGTCTCCTTCTGGAAGTATAATAAGAATATGAACCTAGAGTTAACTTCGAATTCAATGAAAAACCAAATTTATGAGTTTAAACCTTAACCATATGATTCTAATCCTGTATATGGCTAATATTTATGACCAACTCACCGACGCATTAATATTTGTTTTGATGTTTGTTTTCTTATTATATTTTAAACAGTAAGTTTAGATATAATAATCACTTCCTTGGAGAATGATTCATTTGGTAGATAATTAGGTGCCTTGGCGTGCACTACTTTGTCTTCTCGGTGGTAATGTGGCGATGATGCCGTATTCCCGTATCTAAACAACCAATCATATTGAGTGCTTTGATTGATACCAGTGTACAGCTATGAGCCGCACAGTCCAGGTGGCTGCTCTCACAGCCAAAAAAAAAACATGAAATTATTGTACACCACATCATAGTAAGTCCTTTCTATATAATAACAGAGGCCAGAGCACCATGGCTAGGTAAGGTTTGGTAGGTTTGTTTGGTTAGGTTAGTGAGGCCTTCTAACAATGCTTACACTGCTTGTTCTTCTTATCAACTAAGGTTAGGTTAGGCTTAATTTAGAAATAACCACTTTTTAACACATTTGCCAAAACTATGAAAAAGTGTTCACTGCAAAACAGTGAAATTGCGGCGTGTTTAAAATCTTTTTCTATGAAATATCAGAGGCGGCTCAGTCATAAATACTGTAATTACCCCTGCATACTGTACATGACAGACTTTCTGAAATGTATTGCACAGCAAAGAAAAAGTGTTTGCAATATATGTAAAAGCAGACATCAATAAGGGAAAATGCAATGGTACAGTATTAGATAAAAGTAAAAGTAAAAAAAATAATTATTTACAATTAAATGATTAACTTGTATCATTTCTATTGCTTTCTGTCATGCATGCAACATCTCTGGAAAAATTAAGTATTTCTATAAATTCCTTCTGGTGTTAGCCATCTCCTCCACTATTACCATAGAGTGTAATTCCTCCGTCTGATTTAGTATATTGTTGAGGTAAAAAATTAGTTTTCTTGAAGAAATATTTCTTGTAAGTTAGTTGGATAACCTGGACCCTCTAGTAAGGTGCTACACAATTCCTCCTACATTAACAATAGACTTATGGAGGATGGCCTTCATGGACCTTTATGGAGATCAAATAATAGTAACTGATCGAGAAATCCAGTATACAAACATTAATATTATCAATCTTGTAAAAATACTTTTATATATTAATCCTTTAATATACATATGGAGGCTCCAGAAATGTATCCTATTACTAACAGTTCACTTTCACAAAAAAAAAAATAAAGGTAAAATTTCAGTTTCGGTCATCGCTGTTTTTTCCGATGGGTTTTTATGTGTTTTGAATGATTTTAACCTGACCTGACCTGACTGGCCCTGCCCTAACCTAACCCAACCACAGAACCCAGGAACTATTATCTAACCTAACCTAACCCAACCACAGAACCCAGGAACTATTATCTAACCTAACCTAACCCAACCACAGAACCCAGGAACTATTATCTAACCTAACCTAAATTCCCTGGATGACCGAAACTAAAATAATACCAAAACTAAGTAGGTACCTGAAAACTAAAGGGGTGACACCACTTAACTAAAACAAAAAACATAAAATATTCTTCTAATTCAAGGATTATTAACAAAGTGAACCGTCATAACCCTTACAATGACAGTCCTGAACCTGACAGCTCTCACAGTTCACAATAACTGTAGTAAAGTTGTGTTAGCAGGATCACTTAAGACATTTCATCTACGGCAAAGAACAATTAAGTTACATAGTAGTGATAAAAGTCAATAATTCGTTGGTTAACAGCTAATCACCTCACATGGACTCCTGTACTAGCAGCAGCCAACCAACAGAGAACATGGACGTAAATAAACAGTTTGGTGAATGAGTTTAAAGGTGTTACCGTAGTATTAAATACTACTACTACTACTACTACAGTACTACTAATACTAATACTAATACTAATAATAATAATAATAATAATAATAATAATAATAATAATAATAATAATAATAATAATAATAATAATAATAATAATAATAATAATAATAATAATAATAATAATAATAATAATAATAATAATAATAATAATAATAATAATAATAATAATAATAATAATGTACTGTATATGAACTCTTGGAACAATCTGGAGCAGGTTCCTATATATTCAGGTTCAGGAACTTCAGGAGCCAGTGCATGCACGCCTGTGTAGTCTGGACCAACACCCACCAGTGTCTTGGAATCTGGTTCGACCAGAAACTCACTTTCAAGCCGCAACTCGAGTATCTCAGGCACGAGGTCGCTCACCAGCACAACCGCAGGAGCGAACATACACGTGCTCAAAGCCTACTACAGTACACGGCCGCCATCAGATCGCTGGTAGATTACAGTGTTCCAGCGCTCATTGGACTGAGAGAAGACCAGATAGCTAAGCTAGAAGTTATCCAAAATAATGCTCTCAGGACCATGCTCGGAGCACCCAGGTGGACCAGAGCTTCCAATTTGCAAATGGAAACTGAACTACCACCCCTGGCAGTACGAGTCAAGCAGGTGACAGCCGGTCTCCTCGCCAAAATCTGTAAAACAGATAAGCCCACAGCTGCCACAACGCGAATCAGTGCCTCCCTCCACCTCGACCACACGGACTCCAAACCAGCCATGCAGGCGCTGTAACACAGTCAATCAAGAGACAACGTCCACATCATAACCTCGATCCTCGTACAGCTACAGGACTTCCAAAGACAAAATCGCCCAGTCGTCTTACACTGGATTCCCAGTCATGTAGGGATCGGGGGAAATGACATGGCAGACGAAGCAGCCACACGTTCTACAGGCGTACACATTCAAGTTCCAGCAAGCGTGCAACAGATCAAGAACCACCTCAGAAAGACTACCAAGCTCCACATCCAAAAGAGCTTCCTTGACGCATTCAACGCTGGTTCCCAATCAGCCAAATGGTACCTGGTGGCTACAAAAGGGGAACCACCATTCGCGGACAAGAAACACCAAGCCAAACCCAAGTTAGCCTTCATCGACTACGACTAGGGTACAAGTGCACCTGGCAGACGATCGGAAATGCCGTCAGGGAATGCATCTACTGTCAGGAGCTAGCGGCCAACCCACTGGAACACTATCTCCTCGACTGCAAAGTCACACAAAGTGTCCGAAACAGAATTCGAAACTTCCAAGAAGAACACACAACACCAGCGGCCACTCTAACCCAAAAGGCCCAAACAAACCACATTCACCACCTTCTCCGGGTCATCACCACTCTAACCCAAAAGGCCCAAACAAACCACATTCACCACCTTCTCCGGGTCATCACACGATACTCACCACCCAGATAGCTTAGGAAGTTTCCTCCTCCAGCAAATGCAGACCCCAGTTCGGGGGGCGCGCCACTCCGAAACTGACCACGTCCAAGAGTGGGGGTTGGTGGTAAGCGTTCACTGACCGAGGGTCCGCTCACACTTGCAAACCTGCAGTATCCTTTCATATCTGCAAGTAGGACAACCTCCAATCCCAAATCCGGTCTGGCTGCTCCAAGAGCTCCAGCCGGAACCACCAAACGGGCCGCCTTCAGGCAAAGGCCCGTGTCGGACTACGGTCCGACAATCTCAACAACACAACAACATGCCCGGCCAGTTCAGTACAGTACTTGCAAACAGTGCATAACATATACATGATCGATCGCCCAAGCGGCACGAGCTGATCAGTGGCGAAGAGGATAAAAGTAAAAAGTAAAGTATAATAATGTTACGACCCTCCACAGCTTGCCCAGCTTTCACCACTGGTTACCAACGGCTGGGTCGATTGGAGCGCCTGAACTTGCCTAGCTTATACTACAGACGGGCAAGGGGTGACCTAATTGAGGTGTATAAGCATCTCAAGGGGCACTACTCAGTCGAGTGTCCTTACTTGGAGATGGCGGACGCTCGCCCCACAAGGGGTCACAGCTCAAGATTGAAGAAGCCCCAAGTCCAGAAAACTGAGAGGGCAAACTTTTTCGGAGTGAGGGTTGTAAACTCTTGAAACAATCTACCAGAGAGTGTTGTGACGGCACCGAGTGTGAGCTCTTTCGACAAGACTTGACCAACACTGGAGCGGGTTCAGGTACATCCAGGAGCCGGTGCATGCCCAGTACAAGCCAACAGTGCGTAACAGAGACGTGACCGATCGCCCAAGCGGCTAACGAGCCGATCTTTTGGTGAAGAGGATAAAAGAAAAGAAAAGTAAAAGTAATTAGAGACGTGACCGGTAATTTCCCGACGATCGGTATCAGTGTAACAGACAAACAGACGTCCCTCACATTGGCACTCTTTCGTCTCCTAGAGCCTTCTGGTGGCCACATTGATATTGATGGTGTTAACATTACCAAGATTGGTCTCCATGATCTCCGAGGACACATCAGTATTATACCCCAGGATCCAAACTGTTCACTGGGACACTCCGCATGAATCTCGACCCATTTGATGTCCATGAAGACATGGTCATCTGGCATGCACTTGAGCTTGCTAATCTTAGTCAATATATCCGCAGTCAACCACAAGGTCTTAAACACATGGTAGATGAGGACGGCTCCAACTTTAGTGTTGGCCTTCGGCAATTGGTGTGTCTGGCACGGGCATTACTCCGCAACTCTCAGGTTTTGGTGCTTGATGAAGCCACAGCAGCTGTCGACTTGGAAACAGACAATCTTCTCCAGGTAACCATCCTCAGTTTAATGATTGTACTATGCTTACAATAGCACATCGCCTGAACACAATCATTGACTATGACAGGGTGATGGTACTGAAGGAAGGAAAGATTGTTGAATTCGACTCCCCATCAGCTCTGTTAAGCTGTCCTGATTCTATTTTTTATGGCATGGCCCAAGATGCTGGATTAGTTTAGTTTCTCTCAACATTCAGTATTTTTGGTAGTGACCCTGCTTGTCAGCTAAGAGGACTTTTCAAAGACTTACATATAAAAGTGGGTTGATACTAGGAATGGCATCCAGTCATAAGATTTGCCGGTACATGCCCAGTACCTGCCAACAGTATGTAACAGAGAGCCAGTACATGATTAGTAGTGTACTTGCCAACAGTGCGTGACAGAGACGTGACCGATCCCCCAAGCGGCTAACGAGCCGATCAGTGGTGAAGAGGATAAAAATAAAAGTAAAAAGTAACGGGCAGGTAGATTTCCACCAAGTCACAGAAACGCACTTGTGCACTGCTAGCGGCGAAATAAATAAATTGTCAAAGCTAAAGGTTCATAAGGAGGGCCACCAGACTGGTGCCTGCACTTCAGCATCTCAACTACCCTGAGAGATTGGAGAGCCTGAACTTGCCTAGCTTATACTACAGACGGGCAAGGAGCGACCTGATTGAGGTGTATAAGCATCTGAAACTCCTCCACCCACAGGTAATGTCCAGCTCTGTGTTATACTTCGCCACATTAAGTGATTTTGACTTAGTTAAAAGTTTGAATATGCAAGTGATACAGTAACGTAACTGATGTGTTTTAAGTGAAGTATTCTTACACCCTTAGCGTCCTTTTGAAACGTTGACGTTCATGTCAACAAACACAGTCCAGCATCTGAAACTCCTCCACCCACAGGTTCCTCTCGGCCAAGAGCCTTGTAGATTGGGACGACCTCACTAGTTTGGGAGATGGATGAAGGCTAGTAAACTCGGGTAAATTCGTGAACATGAGCGTAATTCAGTGGGGGGTGAAGTTGGAACCGGGTCTGTATGGGTAGAAATTGCGGAAGGAGGAGAGGAGCTGATTGTGGGAGTGATTTGCAGGCCCCCGAGTCTTGGGAAGGAGGCAGCTCGGCCCAAATGGCAGGAAATGAGTAGGGCAGCAAAATACAACAACCTGTGCATTATGGGGGATTTCAACTTCAGAAATATTGACTGGGACAACATTGAAGGTGACTATGAATCTGAAGACTTCCTAGACGCAGTACAGGACAATTTTTTGAAACAGCTAATTACAGAACCTACTAGAGGTAACAATATATTAGACCTAGTATTAACAAATAAAGAAAATATTATCAGAGATATCACAGTAGGGGAAGAACTAGGGAACAGTGATCACAGAGAAATCAGGTTCACCCTAAATTGGGAAACAAAAAACAATGACAATATGGTAAGAGTCCCAAACTTTCGGTTGGCGGATTTTCAGGGGTTAAGAAGATACTTAGGTGAAGTCGCCTTGGAATAGTCAGGTCAGTCCCCAGTAGGAGCAGGTGAGGTCACAGGTGACACAACAATTGATCATGACTATAATATATTCACTCGTATACTACGTAAAGCACAAGAACAAAATATACCATACAGAAAAATTGGGTCAAATATGAATGAGCCAAGGTGGATGACCAGAAAACTTAAACACGACATAGGAATAAAGAAAGGAATTTATAAGAAATCAGAGGGAGGGGAGGAGCAGCTCAGAAATAGGTATAATAAACTATCTAGGAATGTTAAGAAAAATGTAAGGAAGGCAAAGAGGGACTACGGAATCAGGATAGCAAGAGAATCCAAGGAGAATCCCAAGGGATTTTTCCAGTTATATAGGACAAAGGTCAAGGACAAAGTAGGGCCTTTAAAGTCAGAGAGAGGAGAAGTGATCGATGATAGTGAGAAAATAAGTAAAGCATTAAACAGCTACTTTTTGTCAGTTTTCACAGAAGAAATTCACGAGGAAATTCCAGAGGTGAAACTGATATTTAAGGGAAATGAAGAAAAGAAATTAAAGAATATCACTATCAGAAAAGAGGATGTTCTTAAGATAAATAAATTAAAGAAGACAAAATCC